GTATATACTCTGAAAAAAATTAATTTGATTCAAATAATCGCGGTTACTTCACACTAAAAAATAATACTTACTTTCAGTTCACTTTTGACTAAAACCGTTAACATTAGAAACATTTTTACTGAATTTCAGCCTTGAGTGTATGATTTTAAGCCCTAAAATTGACTTAATCTAGTTTTAAGATTAAAATTACACTAGTTTTAAGGCATTTTGATTTTAAGATGTTAACGGTTTTAGTATTTGTTTTTTGTGTGTTGACTATTATCAAATAAATATTTAATTGACTCAAATAATAATTATTTGAGATGGTATTTGTTTAAAATACAGTTCAAATAAAATTTATTTAATTCAAATAAAAATTATTTGCTTCAAGTAAATATTTATTTTATAATAGTCAAGTAGAGTATTTAAATCAAATAAATTTTTTTCAGTATTAATAAACCTATTTATATAAATTCAAAATTTAAATTCAAATTTTAAATTCAAAATTCAAATTGAAAATTCAAAATTCAAAAAAAGATTAAAATTATACCAAAGACGGTGCGGTTGGAATAAAAAATAATAAATAAAAAAAAATAGCGATAGTAATAGTACAACCTGCATCTAAATTTAAAGCAAGCGTATAATAAAAAAAAATGTGGAAACGATGAGATATAAAAGGATGACTATATACTTGAAAGATATAGCGTGTGCAGTAAAAAAAACTATGCAGCCGGCGCATCTTCGAGCAGGTGCTGGTCAAAAGCCACCTTTATGCATCTGCCAACAGTTCATTGGACTTTTAAAGTCATAAAAGAACAACATAAATTTAATCTCCTTTTTTTTTATTTATACATTTGCCATTTTCAGAACACCATATTGTGTGTGTGAAAAAAAATTTTCAAAGAGATTAAAAAAAAAGAAAATATAATTATTTTTAAAAAATCTTAATTATTTTAAATTCAATTTTTAAATTATTGTAGAACTTGTTCGGTAAATATTAAGGTATTAAGGTATTCGAAAAAAAAAAATATATATATATATGGGCTTATATATATTCGCAAAGATTTATGTCGCAGACGGTCATCCATTGCTCTTGGCCTGGTTCCCAGACCCAACGGTTTGAGAATCAACACACCATTAGTTGATTATGAAATAATTTGTCAATATTTTTATAAAACGATATGGTGGTGTATTATTGGCACAAAAGACATTTTTCACTATTTAGAAAAAAAAAATTAAAATTTAGAAATATGGGTCTATTTTAAAAATTTCATACGGGTGTATTTTATTTGAAAATAAATTTTTCCTCATATGTATATAAAAATAGCTGAATAGGTGTATTATACTCTTTATTAGGTATACTTTAAAACGTGTGTACTATATTAAAGACGTCATACAAAACACCCCCACCAAAATTTTCACTTGAGGAAAGTTCGTCACGAGCCTCGATGACGTGAATATCGTCATAGTGACGGTGGTATGCGCATTAAAAGCTCCACTAGAATTATTTACCAAACTTATTACACCTGCAATTATTGATTTTATACCGATACACGATGATGATAACAATGACATAAATATTCCATATAGAATCGTTATTGACGAACATTTCCTAAATCGTCATAGTGATTGTGCGATTGTTACTTTTTTTTCCAACTATTATTAATTCTTATTTTATAAACTTTAATATTTCATCCGGCCTTGATATAAAATATGTAAGTGTTTCTTCAACGATTTTTTTTTTTTGAAAATTTATTATAGATTTAAAAAAAATTAATTTTAGTCTAGAAATTAAACGTAACATATTTAAAGATATCTGAATTTTTGGTTTATTATTTTATTAATACGAAAAAATTATAAATAAAAGTTTATTAATAATAATATTATAAGTAGGTTGAACTAAAATATGTTGTCCTAAATGGAAATTAACGAGGCACGTGTACTTGTTTTGGCCTACTGCGTGTATATGTATATATATATATATATATATATATTCAAGTGCGATTCAATGCGACTGAAAATTGATGTTACGTATTCCGTTACGTGTACAATTTTTACGTAAGTGAATACATTCTACAGACAGAAAAGTTGAAAGAAAAAAAAATGTTATGTGTTTTCTTCTTTATTCATAACAAAAACAGATAAAAAAAAGAAGAAGATATATTTTATTAACAAAAAAATATTTTTAATCAATGTTTATTAGAAAGATGAAAAACTATATTGAATTTTTAAATGATAATTTCAAGATTTTGCTTGTCACTATTAGTCCAGGCAAATAAAATTCTGCTTTTCATATATGTAGTATATTGTCACTTTTGTATTTGAGATAAAAGATAAGTTTACGATTTAGTAAAACAAATGAGGAATAACGAGAAATAAATAAAATCAAATAATAAAGGAATAAATGAAGAATAAGGAAAATCTTCAATAGTGGTCATTCTTGATAGATATACAATAAATGGGGTTATCTAGGTTATTTACAACCTTTTTTTTAAAAAAAAAAAAAAAAAGAAAAAACCTTCTTTTGTTACCTTGAAATTTTCCAAGAACATACGTCACCAATTAACATCTGACAATGTAATAAAATATTTAACTTATGTTCCGTTAACAATTATCTTTTTTTTATAACTATAGGGGAAAAAGAAAAAGCAATTTTTACTACTTTCAGAGTAAAACGGAAACTGTCCGAAGTTTCTGCGCCTTTCTGGCAATTTTTACTCCAAAAATAGTGAAATTTATTTCAGAAATAGTAAAAATTACTACGGAAACAGTAAAATTTACTGTACAGAAATAGTCAATTTTACTATTTTTGGAGTAAAAGTTGTCCAGGGATGCGCAGAAACGTCGGACAGTTTCAGTTTTACGCTGAAAGTATAATAAAAATTACTTTTTCTTTTTTTCCGTGATACAATAAAAAGTATTCATTCAAAAATACATGGAAAAAAAGAAAAAGCAATTTTTACTACTTTTGGAGTAAAACGAGAACTGTTCGAAGTTTCTGCGCATTTCTGGCAATTTTTACTGCAAAAAATAGTGAAATTTATTCCAGAAATAGTAAAAATTGCTACCGAAACAGTAAAATTTACTTTAAAGAAATAATCAATTTTACTATTTTTGGAGTAAAAGTTGCCAAAAAAGCGCAGAAATTTCGGACAGTTTCCGTTTTACTCCGAAAGTAGTAAAAATTGTTTTTTCTTTTTTTTTCGTGTATTTTTTAATGAATACTTTTTATTGTATCACGGAAAAAAAGAAAAAGTAATTTTTACTACTTTTGGAGTAAAACGGGAACTGTCCGAAATTTCTGCGCATCTCTGGGCAACTTTTACTCCAAAAATAGTAAAATTGACTATTTCTGTATAGTAAATTTTACTGTTTCCTTAGCAATTTTTACCATTTCTAGAAAAAATTTTACTATTTTTGTAGTAAAAATTGCTAGAAATGCGCAGAAACTTCGGATAGTTTCCGTTTTACTCCGAAAGTAGTAAAAATTGTTTTTTCTTTTTTTTCGTGTATTTTTGAATAAATACTTTTTATTGTATCACGGAAAAAAAGAAAAAGCAATTTTTACTACTTTCGGAGTAAAACGGGAACTGTCCGAAGTTTCTGCGCATTTCTAGCAATTTTTACCACAAAAATAATAAAATTTTTTCTAGAAATGGTAAAAATTGCTAAGGAAACAGTAAAAATTACTATACAGAAATAGTCAATTTTACTATTTTTGTAGTAAAAATTGTCAGAAATGCGCAGAAATTTCAGACAGTTTCCGTTTTACTCCTATAATTTAGTAAAAATTACTTTCTTTTCGTGTACTATCTCTTTTTTTAGAAATTTCTTCTATTTCCAAATATTATATAATTTCTTCATTAACAAGTGTTTTTCTAAAAAAAAAAAAGCTATTTTGAACAAATCTTTATATAAATTATAGATAATGATTAGAGAAATTCCATTGTAAATGGGAACCTTCCACAATAATTATGCTTTTTAACATGTATTTATTATTGCGACAACACAACGGATCTTGAAATGGACTTTGTCTTTTGAACGTAAACAAGATACAAATTATTTACGTCTAACAAGATTAAAATTTGTGAGTTGCAGGAAAAATAGCTGCGTCTATTTTTATTATTTTTTTTTTTTCAGCAGAACTGTTTTTTCCATTAACTGTGGAAATGTAAATGTTTATTTAATGGATCTCTGGTTACTGTGAAAATGTATTTTTTTTTTCAATTTCTTCTAAAATTTCATAATTCCAAGTTTTATTCATCTATTTGAAATTTCGTGAATATTTTTGTTTTTCAAGTTTTTTTTTGACCTATTTGTGATATATTTTCTTTTTTTTTTTGATACGACATTTGTTGCACTTTCATATGGCAAATTCAACCTTGTTCGCAGCCTTTACGTCATCAATGGAATTTGTCCATAATAAACAAATAGAATGCCTACCGTGTTATTCATTCTTATTTGAGAGTGTATTTCCCCCACGTTTGTTTCCTCCAACAGTTGTAATTCCCCTGCAGTATCTCGTATTTTCTCCTTCTGCAGGAGGAGTGAAACGCATGCGCATTTCATAGCCAGACAGTTCCACATTCTACCCCTCTATTGACCGATAAAAAAAAAATGAAAAAAAAAATAAAATAAATGCCAAATGGTGTACCTTAATTCCTAGAATTTATATATGAAAATTGCCCTCTTTATTGAAAATTAGCAAAAAAAAAGACCAAATCGAATATTTTCGCGCCTTTTTCCTTTTCATCAAAAATCATCAAAAATTAAATTTTTTTTTTTTTAATTCTACTATAACAGTGTTGAAACTTTTAGTTGTTTACTTTTGATTTATAGACGAGGAGATAATATATTATTATGAATGTAGAACTTTGGTGGGAATGGTGGCTTGTGTGTTGTAAAAAGGAAGGGGACGTCTACTGCTCAGGTCTGAAAGAGAGATGATGGTGGGGATAAAGCGCGGGTTAGTAGCCGGGATACATTGTGTTTCGTGCGTCTGTTTGATTCAGTAAGCGAACGAACCATCTTAATAGTTGCATGTGTGTATTTTTGTTCTTAAAAATCAGCGTCGTGTATTGGACCCCCTAAAAAAAGCAAGAAGCTTTGTGATTTAAAAAACAAAATTCGTTTGCAAATATTTGTTTTTTGTTTTTTTTTTTTTTGTTCTAAATAAAAACAGTGTGGCTTTAAACAGTCAAACTGGATTCCAACAAACAGTATATGTCGCGATTACATCGCGAGTACAAGAGGCTTAAGAAGTTATTCAAGGTAAGGAAAAGTGCCGCTATATAATACCATTTTTAGTTTGGTTGATGATGATGAAGAAAGTGGGTGTTTAATAACAAGGCGAAAGGGTGTGGTGTATTTAATATTTGTGATATTTGTAAATATTTTCTAAAATAGAATTTTATTTTATCAATTAGATTGTATTTATATTTGTTGGATAAAGAATTTTCATAATTGAAAAATAGTTTAATAACAATTTTCCATCAACGTCCTTGTAATTTCATTTTTCCCTCCTCTCCGATTATATCGAAGGTTTTTGAACTTCATATAGGATAGGGTGAGGTCGGCATTCCTCGCTTGCGATTCATGAAGCTTACCGCCATTCCTAGTTTATATCATTTAAAACTGGAATTTAAGATGATTTTCCCCCTTTTTTTTAAAATAAGATTTGAGACTTGAATGATTATATTTTTTGCTCGAGTCTCAATCTGTAATTTTTGACTGGGACATGTTACATATATGTTACATGAGACATATTCCTGTTTTTTTTTTTTAGTCTGCGAGTTTTGAGATATGAATCATATGCATGAACTAAATTTGTAGTACAATTGCTTTACTAATTAATGAATGAGTGAGAGGCATGAGATGCACAAGACTAAAATTAGAATAGACATTGGAATGCCACTGGTATCCGTAGGATATACCGGGTGAGCGGAATATTGTCTGGAGCGATGAATGGTCGTAGTAAAACAATAGTATATGTTACACTCCTATGTTTATAAAAATAAACATAAAAATGATAACAAAATTTATATTCTCAACTCGTAAATAATTATTAGTAGCATTTTAAATAAAAAAAAAAAAAATTTTTCAAACTGATGTTCGATATATATTCTTGTTTTTAAATGCTGCGGTGACTGAAAATACATTCATGTTTTGTTAGATAAAAAGAAGGGGGACAGAATAGATAAGCAACTTTAAACTTAAACTAAATATAAACGAACAATCACGAAGTAAGACGGCGGCTTCTCCTTCTCGGGCAAATGTTCCACGAGGTCGACGGCCTAACACGCATCGTTGATGCCATGGAGTCGGCTTGCCGTTCGTTTTCTAAAGGAGAGTTTACAATGTAATTCAAGGAAACATTTATATATATATATATATATAAATTTTTTATTGAATATTTATTTTATTTACTATATTCAAGTACGTTTATCGTTCAACAAGGCCACCCACGTGTACAAGTTTTATTTTGTTAAATATTTGTTATTGCGTCAAAACTACTAGTCTGGAGAATTGAATTAAATATACACATAATAATGAATTAATAAATTGAACATACAGAATTAATTAAAAACTGAATTTTAATTTTGAATTCGAAAAAAAGAAAAATAAGTGGAAATATTTATAATTAAAATATTTGAAATAAGTTTTAGTTATTTTAGAGCGATTTCACGATAAATACATTTTATCAATGGGAAATTGCAGTGTATACTGCGTATACAAGTTGTGATAGTGCGTCATTATAGATTGGTATGTGGGATATTACGCCTTTACTCATTGACTGCAAACGCCCTAAGGATTATTTTACAAAGCCTAATATATATATATATAGCGAAATACGTAGTTGAAAAGGCAATATTCAAGGCACTATAAATAGAATTTTATTTATTTTTTATGTAACAAAACCAATAACCATTTTTTTCCCCCTTTTTTGTATATAATTGAAATACGTTTAATAGTTATTGGAAACGTATTAAACAATATTTTCCATTTTCTTTGAATTTACTATTTTTAAAGAGAACATTCTTTTTCGTTTTGCTTCTTTGCTTTATAAATTTTCTAATACAAAGTAAAATTTTATTTTAAGATGCACTTGAAATTGAAACTTTTAATTGAGTACCAATTTTACTAGTTTCACAGAAAATTAAAAGGCATTAAAATAAGCTGCAACGCTTCTTATTTTAATCCAATTTTGCTTATTTTAATACCAAAATGGATTAAAATAAGAAAAATTGTATTAAAATAAGAAGCGTTGCAGCTTATTTTAATGCCTTTTAATTTTCTGTGTTGTCCTAAATTTGAAAATCTATAATACAAAACATAAAAATAATTGTTTGTCCAAGTACTTGTTTTGAAAACAAAATATCTTATTATAGTCTCATTAATGTATTTTTATTATAAAACCAACTGTATATTAGCCAATTAAAGATGCATGTATTAAATCAATTTTCTAGACTGTGGTAATGAGATTTTAATTGAATTATTATTGCTATCATTAAAATTGAAAATATAGTGTTTTTGTTACTTGTTTGTTTCACTTTGTTTTGTCATTCTATTTCGATTTCTCTTTTCCACATATATGAAACATAATTTTCACTCCTTTATACGGTGTTAACATTACGATTTTTATATAAAAATGTTGTTTACATTTCTCTCTCTTTCTCTTTGTCGCGAAACCGCTTTTGAAGATTTGACACTGCAGATATTATTTTCGTATATAAATATAAACACATATTAGGTAATATCATGTTTCATTAATCACTTTGACTATAAATAAAACTTGGTATAATCAGTTTTTATATGATTTCTTCATACCAAATATAGCTGACACAATTTCTTAGCCATGAGCTCAACGAGAAAGAGTATATATGTGAAATGCAGTTTTTTTTATAATTGATGAAAATTAAGATAAAACCTCGTTAAAAGTGAATTTAAAAATATTATTATTGGAAATAATTAGAGGAATAATCTTTTCAACTAACAATCGTAATAAATGCAGTATGAACAACATAGTTGAATAATCGGTTTTGTATTTTCAAATGCACTGATTGTTGTATTATTAAAAATTCTTGGTATTATATACAGTTGAAATGAAAAAGAGTAATTTCAAAAGTATTTCAAGTTTCCTTTTGCCCCACAGCTGTTGCTAGGCCAATAACGCGTAAACAAGACCCACGAGGCCGTTGCCTGATACCTCTTAGCTTATCCTCTTCTCTGTCTTTGTCGCACGTTTTGCGATTACAAAGCCGGAAGTAAGTAAATGTCGCGACGTTACAAGCAAGCAGGTTGTTTATCATTTTATTATTATATATATATATATTTATAATAATAAAACACGTTTTTCGTGTATTTTCAATTTTTTTTTTTTTCCCTAAAACATTATCTTTTGGTTCTATTTTTCAGATATCCTCTATCCTTATCTGATTCTCATGAAGTTATTAACATTCCAAGATTATTTTTTTCGGGTTTATTTATTTTTTATTATTTCTTTCAATGACGTCAATTGTTTCGGTAAATTTTATTTATTTTAGGAAACCATTTTTTCCTGCGGCTTATCTAATTTCAAAACTAGAATTTAATAGATGACATCATTCCCATGGTTATTTTTTCGATTAATATTAAATAATTTGTATTGATAATTTTTTTTTTTTTTTTTGTTTCAGCGTGTGGCGAACCAGACGCTTACCGTTTCGCCACAACCGGCAGTAACGGTGGAGGGGCCGGTGTCTAAAATGTCTCCACCGACGAACGATGTTACGAATGGGGTGATAGCGCCTCCAAGTAACCTTACACCCCGGATTCCATCGACAACGAATCCGGCTTTAACGTCCATCAATCCTCCCACCCACAAGCGCTCCTCCACTGATTTTATCTTTGGCAAAGTGATAGGCGAAGGCAGCTTTTCTACCGTGAGTATATGTATATATTTATGTATTGCAAATATCTATAATCTCCATATAAATATTTTCAAATATAGTTAAAATTTTCATTTTATGAAATTTCATTTGTCATAATTATTTTTGAGTCAAATTTTTATTTATTAGAATTAATTTTGCAGAAGATTCATTAAATCGATTTTTTATAATACAGAATTTTTATTGGGTACACGGAAAAATAGAAAAATTAATTTTTACTACTTTCGGTGTAAAATGGGAACTGTCCGAAGTTTTTGCGCATCTCTGGACAACTTTTACTCCAAAAATAGTAAAATTTTGGCCAAGAAATAGTAAAATTTACTACTCTCTAAATCTGAATCAGTCATATTTTACTGATTAGGAGTAGAAATCTACTAATTGCCATAGCGAGAATTGAGCAACTGATAATTAGTTGAAATTTACTGATTCAATTAGTAAAATATCAATTACTGATTGAATCAGTAATATAAAATATATGGCGGCGGCCGCAAAAACTACTGATTTAATAGTTAATTCTAAAGGTTATGTTATATACAAATTACTGTTTCACTAATTATATTAGTAAATTTCAAAAAATAACTGAAACTTCAGTTAAAATGAAAAGTACTGATTGAATTAGTAAAATTTCTACTGATTCAGATTTAGATAGTACAGAAATAATCAATTTTACTATTTTTGGAGTAAAAGTTGCCCAGAGATGCGCAAAAACTTCGGACAGTTCCCGTTTTACTCTGAAAGTAGTAAAAATTAATTTTTCTTTTTTTTTGTGATACAATAAAAAGTATTCATTCAAAAATACACGGAAAAAAGGAAAAAGCAATTTTTACTACTTTTGGAGTAAAACGGAAACTGTTCGAAGTTTCTGCGCATTTCTGGCAATTTTTACTCCAAAAATATAGTGAAATTTATTCCAGAAATAATAATAAAATACAATAAAAAGTATTCATTAAAAAATACACGGAAAAAAAGAAAAAGCAATTTTTACTACTTTTGGAGTAAAACGGAAACTGTCCGAAGTTTCAGCGCATTTCTGGCAATTTTTACTCCAAAAATAGTGAAATTTATTCCAGAAATAGTAAAAATTGCTACCGAAACAGTAAAATTTACTTTACAGAAATAGTCAATTTTACTATTTTTGGAGTAAAAGTTGCCAAAAAAACGCAGAAACTTAGGACAGTTCCCGTTTTACTCCAAAAGTAGTAAAAATTGCTTTTTCTTTTTTTCCGTGTATTTTTGAATTAATACTTTTTATTGTATCATGGAAAAAAAAAGAAAAAGCAATTTTTACTACTTTTGGAGTAAAACGGGAACTGTCCGAAGTTTCTGCGCTTTTTTGGCAACTTTTTTTTCAATAGTAAAATTGACTATTTCTGTAAAGTAAATTTTACTGTTTCCGTAGCAATTTTTACTATTTCTGGAATAAATTTCACTATTTTTGGAGTAAAAATTGCCAAAAATGCGCAGAAACTTCGGACAGTTTCCGTTTTACTCCGAAAGTAGTAAAAATTACTTTTTCTTTTTTCCGTGTATTTTTTAATGAATACTTTTTATTGTATCACGGAAAAAAATAAAATGTAATTTTTACTACTTTTGGAGTAAAACGGGAACTGTCCGACGTTTCTGCGCATCTCTGAACAACTTTTACTCCAAAAATAGTAAAATTGACTATTTCTGTATAGTAAATTTTACTGTTTCCTTAGCAATTTTTACCATTTCTGGAATAAATTTCACTATTTTTTGGAGTAAAAATTGCCAGAAATGCGCAGAAACTTCATACAGTTTCCCGTTTTACTCTGAAAGTAGTAAAAATTAATTTTTCTTTTTTTCCATGTAGAATTTCGTTGCCATATAACCGATTTTTCATACTACAGAAATTTTACTTAACCGAAAAATCATTTTAAAGAATTTTTAATTGATAGAATATATATAGGCCTGAGCAGAATAGAAACGTAACCGGAATCGTAATTGCAAACATAACCGGAAGAATGAGTTAGAAAAAAGTAGATATATCGTTTGTCCTTCTCTAATTCATTATTCCGGTTACAGTTCTATTCTGCTTTGGCCTTATGTTCAAAATTGCAAAATGGCCGAACAAGAAATCGGCGCGATTTTCAAAATCAATCACAATTTTACGGATAATTTTTGATTGGTTCATTTTAAAAATCGCGCCAATTTGTTTGTTTGGCCATTTGTAATGGCAACTAATGATATTAGAACATATTTTTAAGTTTTTCTTTTTTTTTAAATTTGTTTCTTTAATTTTCAGGTCTACATTGCCAAGGACATTCATACGAATAAAGAATATGCAATTAAAGTATGCGAAAAGCGGCACATTATCAAGGAGAAAAAAACGGAATATGTGAAACGTGAAAAAGAGGTGCTCAACATGTTGGTAGGCGCAAAACATTCATTTGTACGTTTATTTTGTACATTTCAAGATCCAGAAAGATTATATTTTGTCTTGTCATACGCTAAAAATAGTGAACTATTACCCTATATCACCAAAGTTGGTTCATTCGATATTGAATGTACAAAATTTTATTCAGCCGAAATTCTTCGCGGTTTGGAATATCTTCATGGTTTAGGAATAATTCATCGTGACTTAAAGCCTGAAAATATTCTCCTCGATGAAAAAATGCATGTACTAATTACTGATTTTGGTAGTGCAAAAATTCTCAAAGACGATCCTGAAGTGTTACGACCATCCGGAACTGTTGATGAAGAACAACAACAACAAAGGAGGCAAAGAAGAAATTCATTTGTTGGTACAGCACAATACGTTTCACCTGAATTACTAACTGATAAAGTTGCATCTCGAGCGTCTGATCTTTGGGCACTTGGTTGTATTATTTATCAAATGGTAGCTGGTTTACCGCCATTTCGTTCGAGGAGTGAGTATTTAATTTTTCAACAAATATTAAAACTCGAATATGAAATACCCGATGGATTTTCGGAACTTGCAAAATCATTGGTTGGACAATTATTGGTACTTGATCCCACGCAAAGGTTGGGTGCACAAGATGAACATGGATCAGGTTATCCAAGTATTAGAGCGCATCCATTGTTTGATGGTATTGATTTTGAGACATTGCACGAGCAAAATCCACCGCCAATTTATCCTTATTTACCTGGTACATCGGAAAATGAGGAATTAAGATCACAATATCGTGTGCCCGATCATTTGGAACCTGGTCTTGATGATAAACAATTGACAAGATTATTGGGCTTAGGCATTACGGATGAAAGAAAATCACAGGAAAAATCTGAACCAGTGACAATTGTCGAAGAGCCGAAGAGAAAGAAAAGTGTTATCTCCGATTTATCAGATGAGGAAATGAAGAAATTATTAGATAAACAACGTGCATCAAATCAATGGCACAAGTTTGTTGATGAAAATCTTATATTGAAACAGGGTTTTGTCAATAAACGAAAAGGTTTATTTGCAAGAAGAAGAATGCTTTTGCTTACAACTGGACCACATTTATTTTATGTTGATCCAGTTAATATGGTGCTTAAAGGTGAAATACCATGGAGTCCTGAATTGAGGGTTGAACCGAAAAATTTCAAAATATTCTTCGTTCATACACCATGTAGAACATATTATCTAGAGGATTCTGAAGGATTTGCGTTACAATGGTGTGATGCTATTGAAGAAGTGAGGGTTCATAGTTACTCGCGGGAAAATGCATTGTAAAAATTAAAAAAAAACATAAATTGATGTCATTTTTGTGAAGAAACTGCATAATATCGCATTTACGACTTTCAGAATTCAAGTAGGTAGAAGTAGTGTCAATTTTTTTTTTTTTTTTTTTCAACAAAAAATGGTAGGTAAGAATTTAATCTAAGAGGCGACAATTAGGACCGTTATAAATTATTGTAGTTGAAATTAAGATGGACGATTATGTAATTTGTCTTTTTTTTTCATTTTCACAAAAAAAAAATGCGTATTCGTCCATATAGTGAATTTTGCAACTAGTAAATTATCATCATGTCGAGAGAACATGTAAATTCCTAAAAAAAAAGGGTTTTGGAAAAAACTGCCGTTTTTTCTAAAATCTAAATAGTTAACTAGTGGAACGTTAAAGAGTCGAGAATTTTTTTTTGTTTTTTTTTGTTTTTATGTCAATCGTGGGGGAAAAAAAACTGTACAAACAATTTATACAGAACAAAATAGGTAAACTAGTTTTGTAATAAGAATGATAATGAAAAATGCTGTGACGAATGCTCCTTTTATAGCTTTAATTTCATTTGCGAAGTGAGAATTTTGTCCAAATGCATTATTATACATTTCGCAATTTTTTTTCCATCGTCACTACATTTTTTTTTTTTGCGTTGATTTGTCTTTTTTGTACAGTGAAATTATTCGTATACTGGAATTCAAGTTTTTAAAAAAGAGGTTCACAACGAAATTAATATATAATATATAAAATTATTGCACGTGTGACACTCGTAAAGAAAAAAAAAAATATTACTCAGCAGAGTTTACGTTTAATATGAACTCGAAAAAAAAAATTCAAGTCAACTTTTTACATAAACTTATATTTTATATAGCAATTTTCTTTATTTTTTTTGATGTCACAATTTTTTATCATGTAATTTTTGTCATCTAAATATTTCATGTGGAATTCGCTAGTTTGGCATTTTTATTTAATATTATGAAAAGCAATTATTTCTCTTTCTCAATATTTATTAGTTTTGTTTTTTTTTTTATTATTAAATTGTGTTATTTTTATATTATGAAAATTTTGCTGCCACCACTGCGACTTGTTGAGTAATAAGATTGCCGTCATTAATATAGAAAACAAAAATAATTAAGTATCTCGCCTACACCCTTGAATTATTTTTTTTTTTTTTGTTATGTTAGAAAACATATTTACTCTCGTGTTTTTTTTTTTTTTGTCGTTTGTCTTTAAAGAAAAATTGTGTTCTGTTTATAAAAAATTGCGATTGAGTCACAACCAATCCTGTAATATATCTATTTGTACATTTTTTATACATAATATGTTACAACATAATTATATTATATATATGTATATGCTTATATGAATAATATACATAAATTCTTAGAACTGTGAATACTAGTTAGGCAAAAGTGTATTAATGTTACTTAGATCGATTAAACTCGTTGCAATCTTATGGTTGTGTGACTCGGTCGCAGTGGTTTTACAAATACGAAAGTCTAAATGGTTAATTGTATGTTTAATTAAATTAATTTATGTTTAATTTGTATCTCGCTCGCGCACACGCGCGTATAAAGACTTAAGGGAAAAGAAAGAATGATAAAACTGTTCGTTATGATAAAAATTGGAATTAAATTCGTAGAAATGTTCAAAATTTTTTTGCGAAAAAAAAAAAAAAAAAAAAAATTTGTCATTGTTCTCGATCTCAACAATTTGATCAAGATGACCGCTTTTGATTAGTTGTGTACAGAACGAGCGGATGAAATTCCAATTACCAATTCAAAAAAAAAAATCATCTTCTTATTCTCTTCTAGTTTAGATAGATTCATTATCATTTAGATTTATTGTAGTTTAACGAAATGTGTGGTGCGCGGGAGAGAACTTAATAGAATGATTAAAGAAAAGAGAAAAAGAAAAAGCGAACCCTCGAAAAAATATGCGAACCATTCTTTTTAATACTCTGACAAACTATATAAGACTGGTATTTTCGCTTTTACGACTGAATAGTACCTTGTTGTCTTCATTCGCAAAAGCTCTTGTTGTATAATTACTCATTAAAAAAAGAAAAAAAAAAAAAAAAACTTTAGAGTAAAAGAGAATGGTTCCTCAATCATTTAAAGAAAAATATTATTGAGATCTTTCTGTTTCGAGATCTCAAAAAAGTAACTTATTATAAAATAAAAATGTTTTCTTTAGATAGAAAATTATGAGAACAAATAACATTTTTTTTTTGTTTTTATTGTTCTTCTGATATGATATATCTGAAAAAAAAAATGTCAGTTTCTCATAATTTTTATACTCTACTGAATTTAAATAGGTTTTAGTCTATTTATGCACATATGTAGTTCTTTATTATAGAGATGAAAAATGAAACGTCATTTTTTTGATTTTTCAAATTTAATTTGAATCACTTTAGAAAAAAATGAAATATTTCAAAAAAAAAAAAAAAATTTCAAAGCGAAATCAAAGCTAATGTGAAAAACGCTTCGAATATTAATCGCAGTATTACTAAAATTACGTACGTACACATTTTACATTTACATACATAAAATTATATGTATGAAACATAACACAGAAGTAGTTCTACACTAACATGGAATTTATTTATATTAAATTTTTCGAAACATCAAATTTTGTTTTGTTTCTTATATTTACCTCACCTTGTTTTTTTAACTTAAATATACAGTAATCAATAATATTTTAAAAAAATAGGATTTAAAATTTACGATAAAAAAAAACATGCAGAAAAAATAAAAAATTAAGGAAAATGTTCTAAAATATGTCTTTTCAAGTTTGGCATATTCTTAGCTGAAAAATGACATTTATGACACTTAAGATCAGTCTTCAAGTGTTTTTTCATGATGTCTGAATTTATTTTAAGTTGACCTTCTTCTTGAATATTTTTACGTACTTCTGAAATATGATTATTAAATTACCCGTGTAATTTAATTATTTTTATAACCCAATTGAATAAAAAAAAAAAAAAAAAAGTTACTTACTTTGCGATGATAGAAAAAATGGCGTTGTAAATGAATTCCAATGCTGTTTTGTTTTCAAACAAGAATTATTGAAATCTGTGCTAATTACGTGCAAGTGAAGTCGTTGCATACTTGGAATTGCATGATAACCAATGCTGTAAAAAAAATATATAATTAAAAATAGGTTATTTATTAAAAGGTTAGGTTATTTATTTTTATAAATAAATTATTTAATTAACTAATAAATTAATTATAATATTGATTAACTTACATAAATTCAGAATCGTTATGTTTTTTGCTTATATTTTGACCAACTTCTTCCATGTGTTGCAAAAGATTTAAATTTTCCTTTTTAACATGAATAATAGATTTTATATCTTCTTTTGGAATAACTAGATAATGAAATTTTGCTTTTGGATATTTATCCTTAATAACGACAATTAGATCATCTTCTAGAACTTTTAACACCGGATCATTCATTGAATTTAACATCCCATGTGACCAATGGGCTTTTTTAACTTGAGATATTTCACTTTTTTCAGCTTCTGCATTTCTTTTCATTGTTGCAAATAATAGAGATAATGATAAACGTTTCATTCAATAAAGTTAATTAAAATAAAACACTTTTAACAATCACACTTTGACGGGCAGCGTGGTCGACAGGTATATGAGTTTTTAAATGGAGTGATGCAGACTGAAGTTGGGTACAGAATCGTCATTTACAGATTTCTACGTAAATTACAATTGTAAAGGTGCTTATATACC